CAAATGTTCATTTAGAACATAAGATAAAATCAGTAGACAGTTTTTTTCAAAACAAACATTTAATATTTTAACTGTTTTACAGGACAGAAATTTAAATAATATATATTTTTGTTGACTTGATTTTACAAAGGTGACAAAGATACAGAAAGCAGTTCTGCAAAACTAAATGAAAAAAGATAACATTGGAAATTTTCTTCAGCTTTCCACTTGAATGGCCGAAGCTACCACACAGACTTGTGCGATGTCATCATATTCATATGTTCTCTTTAAGAATGTGTCTGTTAGTCTTAAGCCAGAGATGCTCTATTGAGAGAAAGATATAAGCCTCAATTTTCAGTCATTCAGGGAAAATATGGTCATAATAAATGACTGTAAGTTAACAATGCCCATATATTGGAATTTTTGAAAAGAAGCATACCTGTAGTCCCTGTACTGAAGACAGCAGAGTGAGGGCAAGGCAGAGAGAAGAACTTGGGTGCAGCTTTCCAAGCTGTCTTCCTGAAATACCACACCAGTGGATAGAATTGGTATTGCACATTTCCAAAACCAGATCCATAGTCCTTTCACTACTAGAGAAATCAGAAAAACAGGAATAAATCTTGTTCATTTCACAAAGAGGGACTGTGATATTTCTTCCATTATTGCCAGTAAATTTATTTTCTGGGTATCCAGGAGAATAAAAGCCAGAAAGAGAACTATAAAGCTGTTATATCATTTTTATTTCACTTAAGGTAGAATCTGGAAAATGAAAGGAGATGGCACCTTGTAGGGCTTAAAATGGCCTCAGACTGATCTGCCTATCTGGATGTTGGATTTCTGGGTCTATTATTGAACACTGGCTCCCTGGTGGTGATCTGTCAACGGCTTTGCCATTCTTCTGGGAGACTTCCAGATATTTGTGTCTAATCTTGTGGCTATTTGTTAGGTATTCTACAGGGAAGAAAAAGACAACTAATTCTGGTCTAGTGCTGTTGATATTTAATCTGTGTTGTTTTACCATGTAGATAACTTAGAAAATGACTGACAAGATTTGTAAGATGTAAATACTATTCAGGTTTTCTCACTGTATTATTTACCATGAAAAGACTGCTTCTGCTTATAATAGACAGTATCAGTTGAGCTTAAACATGTTAAGTTTTAAAAAAATTTGGC